CTATATGACTTAAAGATAGATGCTACACCTTTGGACGTGAAAGTTACACATTAATAAGAGCCAGTGTTTCCTCTAAAGGACGCTGACCCACTAAAATTCCCCGTGACCTCACTGAACTCTCCTGACTTCTGTCCAAGCACTTCCAAAGCAACAGGGGGTGGGGAGGGTGTGGGGGGGGTGCTAAAAACAAGCTCTTTTCTGGGTCACTTTTGTGCCGAGGGCTGCTTGAGCACTGTGTGAGATGGTTTTGCAATACTGGCGATCCACCAACAGAGCAACGCTGGCTGCTGCCTGAGACTCTGGTGGCACGAGAACAGGGGTCTGACACGTCTGAGGCCACGGATGGACCACGGAGCAAAGGAGCAGCATTATGAGTGTAAGCAAATTAAAAAAAACTAACTGAACCAATATATAAAGCATCCAATAAGGTAAGGTGCTCTTAGTAACAATGAATGCATTAATGAAAAAAATATTTCAAGTGTTTAAACGGCCTGTTTGAACTGACTATTATTACTTTTTTAACTACTACTCATCTGCAATAACTTGACATGAATAACAACAGTTACAAACTTTGGGGTTTACGGTGCATTCTGTCCTGACGTTTACTGAAATGATACCGCCAGCTTTTGAAAAACATTCAAATTAAGAGATTTTTTAAGTGACTCTTCATTGGTGGTTTGTTTGGACAGACGCTTCGAACCATTAGAAGTAGTGTATGCAGCAGCTCTGATATTAGTTTGACCTCAAGGATCTCATGGAGTCTCAGTAAAAAACAAATTAATAAATAAGGCTCTTTGCTGCATTGCCACAGTGCGCAAGGCCTTTATATGATGGAAATTACTATACCAAAAAGTGAAGTTCAAAAGGTTTATGGGTTTCAAACTATAATTGATTGGTCTACTTTCAGCCGTAGCGATAACAGGGGGCAGCAACAGGTCAGCACTACCGGCTTCCATACAGCAGACTTGGGTTGTCTTGATACTAAAATTTTCAACTCGATACTGATACTCTGGAAAATATTCAATACCATTTACGATACCACAAGGATAAAAACAAAGACCCAAAAAAGTAACTAAATTTGGACAGGTTAGTGTCTTTGGTTTCAAACTGACCTGATACTGACGTTATGGTGGCCGGTGGCCCACATGAGTATCATATCCGGATACAACGTTATGATATCGATAGTTTTTGGAGTATCCAAAAAGACACTTGTTGGAGTGTCTTTTTGGAGTATCTAACACAAAACTAACGAGAGCTGCTCGTGAACTACCGTACGGTAGTTCTGTTTTCTCTGCCTGATCTCTGCAGACCTGATGGATCTGGGCGTGTGTGTGTGTGAGTCTTACTGAAGTAGAAGGGCAGCGGGGGGTAGTTGTGGGCCTCTCGGTAGGCTATGAGGTTGATCTCGTGCTGCCGCTGCTGCTGCTGCAGCCGGTGTTTGGTGCGCCGGTGGTGACACACGCAGCAGCAGCTCAGGATGAAGATGATGGCCCACACCAGCCAGAACCCTGCAGAAAACCAGCAGAGTTTCATTACCGCACACGTTTGGGGTTTTAAACTGGGGAAACACTCCACCACTATGGTTTATCGTTCATATTCTGAAACAAAAAACTTTTTCCACTGTCCCTGCAGCCCAGCTAACATGAAGATCACACAGTGGATCACAAAGCTGAAACATTCACGTTTGGAAAAAAATACATCATTTAATTCACGGTAGATCCCAGTCGAATCTTATCTATCAAACAAAGGAACAGATTCACTCTGTTCTCTATGAAACAACGTGTTACTGGACACAGAAAGAACACTTATTGTTTAGTTCATGAGGAAAACTTTAAACAAAACAGGAACATGACGTGGACAACATGACCAGAGACAAAAGTGTCTGGAGATGTAAAAGTTATTGTTCCTAGCTGGACATTTTATGCAGCTTTGGCCACTGAAGAGTTAAAACATTTGGGAACAAGCTGCGGTTTGTTGTTTATCAGGTTAATGAATAAAGTTAAAGCTGTAATTTGACTACGTCCGAGTCCGAATGTTGCTTATTTTTAGGAACGCACACCGACTGCTGTAATAATAGTTTTGCCCTTCAACCTTTCCTCATCCGGCTCAGTTCAAACTTTAGAGCCGGATACACAATCAGGTAAAGGCTTAATGGAGACTAATGGGTATTAAACACATTAAAACAGCAGCCGTTGCACACTTTTTATTTCAGTATGTCCTGATAAATGTATTTGAGGTAAAATCTTTTTTTTTTATATTGCTAACTGTCCAGTGATTCCTGGGAGAATCCAGGAGAGAAAAGCCTGGGTCAGAGAAGTGGTCCTTGATAAAATGTTGAGATTTCGAAACTAACCAAAGAGGCTTTCGTCCTTTGGCAAAAGAAACAGGGGCGCATCTATTATAGAGAAAAACCCATCCACGATTCTTTGCAGCTGAATTATTTAAGAAGACGATGGATTTCCATAAAATAATTGATGTAAATAAGGACAGGAGGTAAAGGCGTGTGAACCGAACTGAGAAAGATCTCGTTGAGACGCGTCTTCAACGTTTCGGTGTTTCCGAGGCGGGATTGATCAGGAAGACGGCGGGGACTTACACCAGAGCTCGTAGTAGTAGCTGCAGCACTGGGACTCTCCGCAGCAGTGCCCCGACTCACAGAAGTAGCTCTGGTTGTTGACCCCCTCGCACTGGAGCAGGCTCTGAGAGAAAGAAAGCACAGCAACGCTTAGAGAGCAGCCTTATCTCTAACACCTCTGAAAGAAATCACAACCATAAAAACAGAGAGGAACAGAGAAAAAGAAAATGATGCTAAACTTTGAATATGCGAAGAGGAAGTACTAAATCTAAACAGTTAGGAGGGATATCTTCCTCCCAGGGGAAAAAACTCCTAACTGTTCAACTCCAGAGGGACGGAATAAGCGAGTATCTAAGCTCCATTTAATCCTCAATAACGGGTGAACACGACTTCCAGCTCTGAGGTGTGGACCACAGATTCTGATGACCAGGGCTTGTTGAGACCACACGACCAGTGTGTTATTTTCCCACTTAAGGGCAGATGTCAGCATCGAGCTGCACGCTGCGTTTCAGTTAAAGAGCGAGAGCAATTTTCAGAGAAGAAGAAGCTCCACTTTTGTCTGAGGGAACCTCCACCTGCAGCATTACAGATGATTCCTGTGTGTTTCTGCCTTCTAACAGGACTCCAAAGTGTTTGTTTTTTTGACAGAGTGAGAAGTACAACCACAGTTCAGAGAGCAGCCTTTACAGAAATCCCATTACTGAACTGTGTGTTTGTACATCTTCCACTTGTATTTATACATTTCTGGCTGAACATTCTGCCTTCATGTTGCCAACATATCCATCTCCCCTCCCGTCCCGGAGCTGGTGTCTCTGTGAAAGCAAAGGTAAATTATTGGATAGAAATGTGTCATCACTTCATTATTGTGTACTAAAATGAATGAGAGAAAGGGATTTTTTGTCATAACGAGGCTTTCAATTCCCAGCCGGATAGGGTTTGGAGAGGTCATGGTGACACTAACCACTAAATCCTGATCAGTTAATCAGTTGGAGAAGATGTGGGGGCCAAATGTAATTAAGTTCCCTGCAGGCATTCCAGAAATATCCCGTTCACAACAATGGGATAGATGTGCGGTCACGGCGACCTAGACCTCTGACCACCTAAACATAATCAGCTAATCCTTGAGTCCAAGTCAACATTTGTGCCAAATCTGGAGAAATTCCTTCAAGGATTTCGTGAGAGATCGTTTTCCAGCAGATGGAGGTAACTTGAACGCGCGGAGCCTCCACCTGCTGCTGGAACGGCCTCAGAAATGACTGTGAAGACAGAAAAACTACGCCCTGTTACTGGAAACACCAACAATGGTAAGCAGATACTTCACACAGACCAAAAACTCTCCTCAGTTTTTTTATTTCACTTTGCATGCCTCATTTTACTGACTTTAACATCCTAACTGCGTTTGTTTACCTAAAAGAAAAAGTCACAGAGGAGATGTCAGAGTAAACAAAACGCTTAAGCATTTTTTCCTGGCATTTAGGCTGAATAAACACAAGAAGAAAAATGTCTTTATGTCAACGGAAGCCGGAACATGCTTAAAGTTTAGGGCTCTTCTGAAAGCGTCATTCTGCCATTAAAGCATATCGGATCTTGATCATTGTGGAGCTGGGAACACTTACTGTGACACTTTCATCAGGGAATGCGTCACATGGACGAGGGCATCCCTAAAAGGGCTTTTCCTTCACCTTTCTTATCCCACAGCACACGCATTTATTAAAAGTATCTACAGTAGATTTTCAATGTTTTCAAAAAACAGAGAAAAAAATCCAGAATATCCTCCCAACACATCCTGATGTTATGAGATGAAACGCTGTTCTGCCTTAGTCCTGTTTTTTTCTTTTAAACTTGCCCCTGACCTTTGCATTGGAAACATAATAGCACCCCAGATATCTAGTATCTGACATTTATTCTTGGCTATGGATCTAAAGTAAACAAGTCCTTCGGTGGCCAGTCATGATTACTTCTTGCTACAATTCTGGATCTGAACTCAAGAACGAATGCATCAAAGTATCACTGGAAAACGATAGCCCAAAACAAAGCCACTCAGCATGATGCACAGGCTCCAAAAAACAAAAGAAAAAAAGAAGAGTTCAACCTGAAACTAATCAGAACGGGAAGATTGGAAGAATGTGGGAAAGCCTAAGAAGTCTAGTTTCATCGGAAACCAATAGGGCATCGCTCTCTTCTCCAGCAGCGTGCGGCTTGTTTTAAGTGTCAATACAGCAAACCAGCAGCTTGGACAAAAGTTAACCAAACAAAATCTGTTACCGATTTCCATCCAAACCTGTGAAAAGCTAACTGGGGCAAAACGGACGACACTGGACCAAAAACCTCTCGGGACAAGTTTGTGGGCTTCCCGGAGAGGATCCCTTTCGGACTTAATCCAGCTTGCCTTAATGATTAGCTACAAAAAAAGCTCCACATAAGCATAAGTGTCGTCTTTCTCGACAAATATTACCAGTGCGGGTCCTCGACTGAGTGGCATGATGATCCACGGTCCTGATAAGTTCCCTCTTCCTCGAGGGTCATTATCCCATAGAGGGGAGACGTGAAAAAACCCTCTCACAAATACTCTCACTCTCGCTGCCTTTTTCCCTACCCACACAGCCGCGCCAGCGCACACACACACACACACACAAACACACACACGCAGGCCCTCACCCCACTCCGATCCCACAGTGGACGGGGATTGCTTTACGGAAATTTCCAAGCGGCAGCTGAGAGCGAGCAGAAAGCTGCTCGGCTGCATGATAATAAGGTGGTGAGAGGTGAGTGTGTGTGTGTGTGTGTGTGTGCGTGCGTGTGTGTGTGTGGGGTGCGAGGCGGGGAGAGGACGGCCGGAGCCGGGCGGGCTGAGAGTAACGCAGGAATGATCCGCTGAGAGCCGCACATCACAGCGGCAAAAAGCCCAACTGTTGACATTAAAGAGCAGCGGCGACTCCCAAACCCGGAGGATCAGCGGCCGTTTGAACTTTATCAACATGACATTCTTTTTTTCTTTTTTTTTAAAAAAAAAAAAGCCCCGCAGACCACAGAGAGATTTAGTAATCACATGGTGTTCTGTTCCTTGGCTTTGTTTGGGATATATCTTCGGCAGATTTCTGAGACTTGCCTGATAGCCTCCGACACGCACGCACGCACACACACACACACACACACACACACACACACACACACACACACACACACAGCACGCTCCAGGTCGAGCTCCCTTTGAGACGCTGATAACGTGCAGCCCGGTTCGGATCTTCGGGCCGAGAGTCCGCAGACGGGCCCCGAGATAGTGGAGAAAAACCACCGAATCAATCATTAACTTTGTGCAGATACAGCCAATCTGTGCTGCTGGGAAAGTGAACGGAAAAGGTCTGACCCCAAAGAAAGTCAGCGCAATCCGACTTTTGACTTATCCCGACAGCGAAGAATCTGCACGGACCAGATTCCCCTGTAACCCATCCAGGCGTGCAGCAACCAAACAATTAACCTCTCACACGCCCGCCGTATTACCGGATTTCAGCTGGATTTGGTTTCTGCCCCCTCTGAAACTATCGTTAACATTAGAACACAATCAGGCTTAATAAAAAGCTGCTGAAACGAGAGCTCAAAGGTCTCTCGGTGACTATCAGATGCTCCTCTTGGAGATGAGCCGCGGCTCAGCCAGAGCTGATCTCCTTAGCTGAGTCCTGCAGGACTTAGCGAGTGAGACCGAGCTCATGAAGGCCGTTTCTGACCTCAAACGCATCACCGTCAACAGCGAGGGTGATCTTTCGCTCTCATAAAGGTTATGGAAAACAAACACTGCGTCAGGATTTGGTGCGACATTTAATGCCATACCAGCAACTCAACAGGTGGAGAGGACGGGTTAAACGAAAAAAGAAACAAAAACGTACAAGCCCATTTTGTCTAAATGTTGTCAGATTTAATTACTGAGTAATCACAACCTGTTGCTGCTCTAACAGGTTATCAGCTTAATGCTGACGTTAAGCTGCGTGTTTCAGAGGAACATTGTCTGCTTTTGCTGCACTGAGATTCCTGATTTCCCAAAAAAACAGTCAAAACCAGACTAACTAACGTGTCCAGTCTTATTAGTGCTGCGTTTAAATGCTCGTCCAGACACACGATGCCCCGAGTTGTTGCACTCCAAAGTGTCCAAGACACACACAAAACAATAATAAATAACTACTAAATGTGCACAACTTTTCATACAAACAAAGCAGCGCCAGTGTGTGTGTATATATATATATATATATGTGTGTGTGTGTGTATCACAAACACACATTTGAACAGGCTTAAAAACATTTCTTCTTTCATCTGAAAATTGACATTTAACCTGTACAGGGAATACAGTGACATGTCCCATAAAGGAGGTGACCTAAATACCTTAAAAGTCTACTCACATGCTTTAAAAGACAGAATCTGTCATAACATGGGCGGGACCCGCTCATCTGTCAGGGCACTATTAGGCCTAAATGTCATTTTCAAATTCTGGATTAATATGTGCTACCATGCAGATTCAATTTTTTCCCCATGTCTTGCCCCGGTAACAAACTGTCTCTGTCCACAGAGAACCCAGTGAAAAGTGGCCCGTCTGTGGACTAAACCTGTCCTCCACTGGAAAGAAATGCCTGGCACATTATGAATCCAAAAACATGGCAAAAACAACCCCTCCCCACCCCCAGAAATGCTGAAGGCATTGACGTTTCCCCACACACGTAAGACTGTGACAAAAGAAAGAAGCAGTACAACATCTGGTCCATGTTGTCTTCCTGATTTTACACCCAGCTTAGATCGTATATCACTGCTTTCAGTTTTAATGTCCACAACATTTTAAACCTAAAGTGTTAGTATAGTAAATCAAGTAACTTTATAAATTTAATAACTTGTATTTAAATAGTCAATTTAATGAGGGTTAACTAACCATCTGCGTATAATACTGGCTGTAGTGAAAGCAAAAGGTAGCCATGCCTTTGTAAACAAGCTGACAACAGCTTCAACTGCCTTGAAACGGACAAACTTAAGCTAGGAAGCAGCGTTAGCCGCTTTGCTAGCAGAAAAAAACTAGAACATGTTGTTCTGACAACCGGCGCGGCTGCATTCACGGCTGGTTTACATGTTTCTGAAACTCCCTCCCGTCTAAAATGTCAACCGATAACTGTAAACACAGCAAGGCCCCGGGTGTTTCTCCACAGGCTAGCTGCGTTAGCAACCGGGGCTAACTGCCGAAAATAGCCTCCGCGCTAGCATTTTCTGACTATTTCCCGGAACTCCAGCGGCTAAAGCGCGTGAAGCACAAAATGAGGCTGATATCTTCAACTCCTACTCCTACTCAGGCCACCGTGAACTCCTCTTATAGCCGTGTGGCTCCGCCGTTTGGTAACTTCTTTAGCTAGCTAGCTAGCTAGCTTGGTTCTGGAGCCTTACCCTGTCCACGGCGGACTCCGTGGGGGTGACGGAGCCCACGGCGTGCAAAAACAGTCCCATTCCGAGACCGAAACACACGCCTCTCATTCCTCCGAAAGCTGGCCACGGGAAAACATAGGCAGGAACGGCGTGTTGTTGCTCCGGCTGGGGTTGTTGTCCCCCCCCACCCCCCACCGGCTGTTAGTGGGCTGGCGTGGAGCTGGGAGGCCGCAGTACGCGCCTCCTCCTCTGCGTCCCGGACATCTCAGCGGGGAGCGGAGCTGGAAACCGGCCGCCGTCGGTGCCAGTGGGCGATCCGGGTCTTACACAAGACGTCCGCCCCCCCTACCCCCGCCCCCGAGCACCCCACCCCCCGGTACAGGCACTCCGCGTCGGTCCGCGGGGCGTGGCGTGGTCACCTAGCACCAGATCCATGTGCGGCCACGTGACGGGTGTCCTGTTCCGGGGATCCGCGGACTGACCCCTGATTGGATGCCGGGGCCAGCTGGGGAAGATTCTGACCAATCACTGATCGGTGCGTCTCGGTCCAGGCTTGTTTTCGTCCACGGCAGAATTTATAAAACTGCTGAGAGACTGTTTCCTCGCCACAAACAAGATCTCAATGCCCCGTGAGCTTTAGTTTGATAGAAGAAATGATGCCCACCTCTTTGGAGCTTTAAAAACCATATTTACACTGAACCTTATCTGCCCAGTGTGTCTGTGTGTGTGCACAGCAGGCAGAGATAATAAAGATGGGCATACAAAAGGGATAATTTAAGCTTACCTACCCATCTTATATTTCAAAACAACTTTCCTGAAACAACATCCCATTGGCTGAAAAATGTTGGTAGCTGCCACACAAAAATCAAATGACCACTGCAAAAAATTTAAAAGCTAGTTTTATTTTTACTTTGAGTATCCCTCACCCTTTCATGTTCAAGTCAAAGACAGCTCTCATATCATGTGTGGAGCCATTTAAAAATAAATTAATGTGGTTTAATCCGACATGGATTCAACTTTCATCGTACAACATCATGATTGCTTTTCTTTAAAACTAGAGGTGATTATATCGTCACCAGTCCCGCTCGTGTGGCTGTCTGTACGGTATCCCTAGGTGGTTAAAAACGTCCCTCTCGGTGGGTGTGGGGAGCGGGGAGCCGGCGTGCACCTTCACGCTCCCCCGGCGGACCACGTCTTTGTTCAGCGAGTGCTCGGACAGGCTCATGTTTTTGGTCTTTGCCAGGGCCCTCATGGAGCGGTTGAAGTGCGCCGACCCGGTGAAGTACATGAGCGAGCAGGCGAACTCCTGGTACGGCACCACGATGACGTCCAGCCGCCGGTGGCGTCGGTCCGGCCCCGGCAGCCGGCACACGCCCATGTACTTCTTCTGCTCGCCGTTCTCCTCGTGGCTCACCAGGTCGTCCGTCAGGAAGCCTTGGGGACGAAGAGCTTTGGAGTTAAGGCAGGAAACTCTCGCGGAGCCGTTTTTTTGGTGGCACGGCCGGAGCCGGCTTACCGCTGTCGTGGAGGATCTCGAGCACCTTGCTGAAAACGCCCCTGTGGGAGCTGCCGTCCGGGTGAGATATCAGCACATCCACATCTCCGCATGTAGCTTTTCCCCGTCGGTAGGAGCCACAGGCCATGGCCACCAGGCCCGGGTCCACGGCCTGGGCAGCATCTCTGACCTGCAGAAAAAGAAAACGTGTTCGTCATTCTGTTTGATCCTTTTTACAGTTAATTTAAGACGAGTGACACACGCTGTATGAGCTGTGCTTTGGTAGAAAAAAAAACCCATCACAGGTCCTAAAAGCACACTTACTCGAAAGCATTAGGAGTTCCGTCTCCCTGTTTTTCCAGCAAACAACTCGTCTTTTAACCGTTTCCAGTGCTGGGAGCCATGCTTGCTAAACATATTATTTTGACATGCCTGAGGGAGCACACCTGCTTTTGTCATCATATCATGTGCGATCTCCATCAGGCCGATTTAGAGGGAAAAAATCCAACTATTTCGAGACGAGAACAACTTAAAGACTTGACTGTGGATTGAACAGGTATCTGGCTAACTTAAGACGCAGTGGGCTTCAGGATTTACTTTTCCCTGTTGAGATGCTTCCACTCAGCGAGAGTCCAGCCTGTTTTTCCCATCATCCTGCTGTCAAGGAAAGCTGACTCAAATTTCTTCCCCCCCAGCTTCCAAATTGCCGATGGTTCAAGTGGGAGTCATCGAAATTCTTAGCAAACTTGGCTTTGTGCACTGAAGTGATTAAAGAATAGAAATGCGTTTTAAGAGAGGACGGGCAGTGAAATAATTGAGGATTTGTTACCACTTTCTCTATAGCTGCCGCTTCTTCTCGGGGCATTCGGTCCAAAAAGTCATGGTAGTGCTTCAGTCCGATCTTCTGAGTGTTGCTCAGGTGGGCTTTTGTGCGGATGTCCTCCAAAGTGCGAAATCCCTGATGGAAACATCTCGTTTAAGTGGAAGATTTTCAAATCATACTTATAAAGAATATTAATGCCTGTCTGATACCGACTTAAATACGCTCTGGGGAAAGTTATTTGAGAAAACGTGATTAATCAACACAGAATAAAAACAAGGGTGAGTACACCTCTGAGTACCATTACTTTACTGTTGGTCCTAAAAGAACAAACCAATAAAAGAAAGTCAATACTACAAGGTTAATGCACCCTTTGATGCATCATTTATTACATGTTTTCATTAAGAGTTCATACGAATTTTATAAACAGCTTTAAAAAAAAAATTCTGAACATTAAAATTCTCTCATCTTTGGTCTGTGGGCCTGAGTTATATAGTATTCATGGCTGAAACCATTTAAATAGAATGACTCCTTCTTTTCAAAATAAAGAGAATGGAATTTTTTTTTCGAGAGAGAATAGAAATATTAAATAATAATAAGTTTGTATGAAAAAAACAGAAAAAAATACTGCAATAATTTGTAAAGAAAGAAAATGTGGCAGAAAATGTGCTGCACGTTTAATATCTAAGAGTTATGATATCAAGAGTATGAAGCGGGAAATTCCACGTTTGAAAACTAAAACTATCAGTAATCTCTCAGTCGACCCAGGAAGGCTGAACGGTGGCAGTTTCTGTCTTATCAGGTGCAGCCGGCTGCTCTTCCTCACCTGCTGGTACCAGAGCTGAGCCGTCTTCGCTCCGGCGCCCCAAATGTTGGTGAACAGCTCCAAAACCGGCACGGCCTCCCCGATGTGGTCCAGCTTCCGCAGGGTGCCGCTCTCCATGATCTCATCGATTTTGTCCGCCATGCGTTTTCCTATCCCTTGGATCTGACAAGCTTCCTAAAACCAAAAAAGGAAGACCGTTGGAAAGTGATGACAGTTGTTCATTTGCACATTCGGATCTATATTTTTAAAGATTGTTCATTTGTACATTCAGATCTATATTTTTAAAGATTGTATTTTTCAGTTTTATCATTTCTGTCCTATATTTTTATTTCTACATTTTATTTCTTGCTTCTCATAGAAGTGTTGTGTTGTGCACTAAACACCAAGGCACATTCCTTGTAAGTCTAAAAAGCTGCTTGGCAATAAACCTGATTCTGATTCTGATTCTGATTCTGATTCTGGGTCACCTGATAGGAGGTGACGGGCTTGTGGTAGCTCTTCAGGGCGTTGATGGCCTTGGAGTAGCCCAGGGCCCTCCACCGGTCCCCCTGGTGCGTGTAGGCCTTGGCCAGCACCTCCAGCTTGTCGGTGATGTGCTGGTTGAAGTTGTTGGATTTGGACTCGGAGGACTGGGCGCAGACCCACTTCCCAGAGACTGGAGTCTGAGCAGCAGCCTCTGGACCGGGGCTGGGGCTGGAGATGGAGCTGGGGGCTTCCTCTTTGGGGTGCTGGCCACTGATGAGAGCTTCGAGGTCCCTCTGAGAGACCCCGTCTTCTTCCCCTTTCTGGTCCGGAGACGTCTGGATGTGAGATGTAAAGTCAGAGTGACGATCCAGCCCAACACGGCACGCCTTTCAACATTGCACATTTCAATTGTTCATTTGTACATTCACACCTGCATACATACTTTTGCTATTTGTAATTTAATGAGTCTTAAATCCATATTTCTATTCTCAGATCTATATCTTTAAAGATTGTACTTTTAGTTTTATATTTTCTGTTCTTTATTTTTATTTCTACATTGTATTTCCTTGCTTTTCATAGAAGTGTTGTGCACCAAACACCAAGGCAAATTCCTTGTAAGTCAAAAACCTACTTGGCAATAAACCTTATTCTGATTCAGATTCTGATTCACCGATTATGGGTCTGGCTGTGGTTTATCAAAGACAGCTAAGACAGAGGCAGTGGTATCAGAACTACCGTATCTGTAGTGTCCTCCTGTTTGTTTTCAGCCACGGGTTCCACAGCGGCTCCAGATGCAGCCGTTACAGAGGCCGACGCTTCTTTTGGATTCTCCAGTTTTGTGTCCGAGACCCTGGATGAAAAGCACATTTCAAATTGGATCAAACTGAAAATCTACAACATTTGTTCGTAATTAACCTTATATGTTAATACGAATGAAAAATCATGAACCTTTTAGGTAAAAGAAGACTGTAGCTGTCGACGTCCACCAGCTTTTTTTCGCTGATGCAGGAACTCAGCCATTTGCATTTCACCAGATGGACAGCAGAGGGCAGATGGTCCACCTTCAGCAGGCGCAGGGCCCTCTCCCCATCCATGCCCTCGTCAACAACAACATGAGTGACGGCGGGACTCAGAGAGCTCTCGGTCTGTCCTCCGTTCTGCTTGATTTGACTTTCAAAGATCTGGCACCTGGCATTCCCAATCCCAGCAGGCAGCAGGTACACTGTGACTCCACGGAAAGTGTTTCCTAGGGAAGTGTTTACAACCCAAAATGTAAGGGTGTTGCATTTAGTTTATTTTGGAGGCTTATGAGTATTCAGTTTGCTTTGATTCTTTTTTGCATATCACAATATCAGTGTGTCTTATCTAAAATTTGCTTCACTTTGTGTCACTTCTGTGCAGAGAGAGTGAAAATAAAGTAACAACCTGTCACTTCGCACTCATCCGGTTTCTTCTTTAGTGGGGGTGCGTCCTTTCCCTGCAGCACTTTGGCCCTTTTGACTTTGGGGAAAGCTTTCATGATCCCGTGACGAGCCTCCATCTTGTTTGCAGAAAGGAGGAGCCCGTGGCCTTTGGCACAGAAGGGGATTAAGTTCAACTTTTAAGGCCCTACAGCAGAACATTGGGTAAACTCCACAGATCTAAAGCATCATTTATACTGCTAACTTGGGCTCATCACACTCTAAGTAAATTAATATAACGGCAGTATAAACATAAAAAAAGTCAAAAGTAAGACAAATTTGGACTTTTAGAGATGTGGAAACATTTTATTTTAGTCTAACTAAACATTATCAGTCCTAAAAATCTAACTTTCTTTGGTGGTATTTTGAGAGTCCCAAGAAGGAAACGTTTTAATTCCTTAAAAAATAGGTATATAAATAGTAATCTAACATTCCGTTATGTTGTAATTATTGAAAATAAAATATATTTTTCCTTAGTTTTAACATATGCACTGTGTTGACTACTACAGACTAAATTGTTTAATTCCCCAAGGTAATTTTGTCACAGTACGTTTTTTCCAAATGCATTCATGAAAAGAACAGACAGGATCATTGATCTGCTACAAAGGGACAAAATATTACAAAAATGTACTGAAATTATTTTTGTTACTGGCTCCCTAAATAAAACAACGGCATATACATATAATCATGTCTATACATATATACAAAATTCCTCATATAATATAAATAGATATATACATAAAAAACTATATGTATATATATAGGTCAAAATAAGTGGTGGATAATGTCAATATTTGTCATGTTGCATCGCTGGCTGCTACAAGGGCCATTACTACAACTAAAGACAGAAATCAAACTTCTCAAACGGATACGGATGTAAAGGTCTGCGTGTTTATGTGTGCCCGGTTTGAAGTTAAGTGACCAAGCTGTTTATACTACTTCAGAAACAGGGAAACAAGCAGATGAAAGTTGTAGCGTTAGCTAACTTTGTGACTAAAAAGCTAACAACACAAACAGCTGATCATCTGGATCTAAACAGCTCCAGTTATTATTTAATATAAAATAAAACTATAACTGTATTATTTTTGTATATATGTATTTTCTGAAATGTCTTTTTAATTTGAAAGCTAAAAAGCCTTTAAGGTTTAAGATTGGATTCTCACCCCTGTTGTCATGGAACCATACGTAGAACAACACCGAGCAAAGACGGAATGTAGTCATTCAAAAAATCACTTCCAGGTCAATGTAGCTTTTGGGCTAATTTAAGATTTATAAATACAATTTGGAGCGTTCAAATTTTATTTGCATTTATAAATATAATTTTGAATATGATTTTTATCCTTTGCTAAACATATCTATGTTGATTCTTTTCCTTTTTTTGTTGACTTCAGTTGCCTTGGTTATTATTGAATCCGGAAGTACCTTTGGGGAACCCTCTGTGGGAACATGGCTGTGCAAGGCTGGAGTGATGCCTTAAAATCTTCAAAGAAAACGGCGTTAATTAACGATGGTAAGTACAGCGAGTGTAAATTAACTTGTAATTAACATTTTTACTGTCACAATTTAATAATTATTAGTTTTGTTGATGTTAAGTTGTTAACTTCCTCAAACCATCTTGTTAGCTAGCTTGTAGCCGATGTTACTAGGCAACAAGCTGGTGGCACAACTTACCTTGTAATGAATACGTACACTTTGTTTTAGTGCAAATAACTACAAGATTTCAGCAACAAGGGGTTTGCGTTTGTTTAACAACATTTACCATGTGTAACTAAATAAAATGGTAAGGAGTTATTCACTGTTTTGCGGGTAACTTAACGAAGCTTTTAAAAAGACACACAGTCTAAGCTGAAACACTTGATCAGAATAGACATTTTCATTCATTTCAAACACGTTACGTCTTGTCAAAGATCCCATATATACAGAAGATTATAATTCCCTTTTACCCCACAACATCACTTGACTTTGGTCTGGTTCCAGAATTTCTAGGCCTACAAGGAGAAATGAAAGTATCTTTTGGGGAGCTTTTTTGTAGTTTGACCATGTGTTCTACCATTTATTTCTATATATGGAGAAAGGTTTTGTTGAAAAAGGCATCCTTGTGGTTACATCATGTGTTTTTCAAGTATGAACACATTTTTCTATAGTAAATTCTTCCAGGCTGTGCTGAACAGCTTTTAGACATGTATTCTTTGACAAAACATTTTCAAACAGATTTAAATAAAGCCACATTTTTTGTTCTCAGTTCTCACAAGTGTGTTTTTAAATTTCACATCAGGTAAAAGGAAGGTTCACTACCTATTCACAGATGGAAAGGAAATGGCAGAAGAGTATGATTTGAAGACAGATGAACTAAACGGTAAGAAACATAGCTGTTGTTTGACACAACTGGATGAAGCTACTGATATGTACATTTAGATAAACAGACCTGATTAATGTTCAGTTGAGCGTTTTGTGTATTTCAGTACGTAAATGGCGCCTCAAAAGCACCCTGGGAGCTCAGAGCTCTTGGCAGGTGGAGGTCGGGGAGCCACTCTCGAGCCTTGCTGTGTCTTTGGACTCTGACGTGATCAAAGAGAGTGGCTGCAATGTGAGACTTTTTATCTTTAGTCTAACTTTAACCATGCATTCAAACCACTGGGTATCCAAAGTCAAACTGACTTTGTTTTCTTTGGTTGTTTTTCTACAGCCCACGTTCATGCGCAAAGACACAAAAACCTGTTTTCAGTGGAGGATTAGGAACCTTCCCTACCCTAAGGACGTCTTCAGTGTGGTCGTAGAGCCCTCTGACCGATGCGTCATCATAAAAACATCAAACAAAAAGTACATCAGAGAGTTTTTCTTCTGCTGTTCCCGATCATCCCTTTGTTTTCAACTTGCTGTGTGCAGTCCTTGTGAACGCCCCATAGATGGCACTGTTGACAATGCATTGGCCCGTGCAGGAGCCCTGTGATGGATACGTGACGTCCCCTCCCATGTCTTCCCAGGTATTACAAGAAGTTCAGTATTCCTGATCTCGACCGGAGCGAGCTCCCACTGGACAGCTCGGCTCTCAGCTTCACGCACGCCAACAACACATTAATTGTCAGCGTAAGTTTACCAAAGCAGCAGAGGATCTCTGAATCTTTCCCCCGTTGATTTTAAACGTGTTAGAATTAAAGCGTGGTTCACAGACCTTCGTTCAAAAGTAAATGTTGATGCCATGAGCTGCACAGAATGGTTCATTCAAGATAAAATATAGGAAAAGTGTAAGAAAAACTCCTTTTTATTGTTGACTTTCTTTTTACAGGCCTCTCAAAACTCTACGCTACACATTTAATGTCTATGAATTTATAGAATAGGTGGATATAAACTTATTTGAATATTTTATGCTTTCAAGGAAATCTTTTGATATGTAGTCATTTCTTGTTTTGTTTCATTGTCTATTATTTGTTCATCTTTTGCTTTCTTTCGAGTGTGGGACACCCAGTAGAATGTAATCATCTCTCTTTTGTCTTATTTAGTACAAGAAACCCAAAGAGATCTTGGCCCTTGAGCAGGAACTAATGAAGGAACTGAAGAAACTGAAAGGGAACACTGAGGGGGATGTCGACTGCAAAACCCAGTAAATTATGACTGTGAGAACCAAGAAATTACACTGAGCTGCATTTGAAACCGAGCCTCAGAAGTCGTATGTGAGCATTCGTTTACCTTTCCTGACTGGATCCCTTCGTTAGGATTCTCAGTGCCTTGTTGCTGCTTTAATGCTTCCTGTTGTGACCAGTTTAAGTCAGTTTTCCAGAGCTGTTCGTGTTCAGACATGTCCAGCCATTTCCATTAGCTGTACACAGTATTATTGAAACACACACAGTTTTGATTTGATGAGATTTCGAAACCATGTAGGATTCTTTTTCCCCAAGAAAATATTACAGAGAGCAAAAATTTAATTGAATTGGACATGTGTTTGTTTTTCCTTCTTATCACCATCATACCTACAATAGAGCAAGTTTTTTCTTCTTCTTCTTTCTTTCTCTTTTGGGGTGGGAGGGGTCCGCATACCCTACTACTTTCCTTTCACGGATGTCCTTGTAAAACACTCAAAACACACAATGCTTCATCCCTGTTCGTTCCGAGGTCACAGTTACGAAGACATCCCATTTGTGTTAAATGAATACCCTTATGTTCCTTCCACGCAGCCGGCCACCCTGAAAGCCATCAGTGAAGCTACTTTTACCGTTTCCCCTCTCCACAAAGGGTCACTCTGACTTAGTGGTCGCCAGCTGAAATGCTGCAGACTACAACAACAAAAAAAAATAGGTGGAACTTTAAAATTGAATGTCACATTCCCAGAGTTTTGTTTTGATTTGCTCAATCATTTTAAAGGGCGGGAATATAAAGCCACCATCTGATCATTTTGGCTTATGTAAATCTGTGGGTATACACTGTATAAAGTCCAAGAGAAAAGTATTAAAGGGGGAAATTTGTCTACTTTCTGACCACATTCAATTAAAGGAAACGCTCAGCTCAGTTAGAGATACTTAACTGGTGGATAAAGAAAAAAAAGAGTGGTGCTGTTTAAATGAGACAATGGCATTTAAATATAGCTTGTTCCAGTCTTGTGATTCCTTGCATTTTTTTGCTGCTTGTCCAAACCCAGAGAGAGCAAGTGCAAAAAGCAGAGACAAAACCACAGGTCTCCCACCATTGTGCTTTGTCTTATTCTAGATGGGATGCAAGAAAACATTTTTAAGTGCATCAGTCCTATTGTTTTGTCCAATTTTCTATGGAGGGTGTGTGTGTGTAGAGGGGGGTGACAGGATTTATTTATTCATTTCAAACTGTGAAGTCAGAAAAAAAAAGTGGATTGACGTTTGGACGTTCAGTGTTGTTTCCGCTTTGTTTTTAAAAAAGCTTCTGTATAGAAGACGCCTTAAATGAGAGCCGGGGGCTCTGAAAGTGTCTCGTTTTCTCTGGTTATTAACAGTCCTGTGAGCTTGTGCTGCTGTCAGTGCGGGTCCCCGGTCAACAAATTGGACATCCAGCTCATGCCTGGTGAGAGCAGCCGGGTCCCTCTGTTCAGGGTCTTCCTCCTCCCCTGTCATTTGGCCTCTGACGGTCATGCTCAACTGCTTCTGGGAAGAGAGTTTTCTTTTCTGCCTCCCTTTCATTCCCGAATGCCTCTTCCCAGCCATTCCCCCTCTTTCAGCCGATGCCACATTTTGCCACACAGGCCCTGATGCTTTCTGCTGCGGCTCCCTCTCCGCGAAAACCCCCCACCCGTCCCCTCCAGACCCCCGCACCCCTCCCTGTGTGACTGGCTTCTTTTTGATAACTGACCCCTCCTCGTGTTATTATTCGAACCCACTATTGTATAACATGCCCTTTTATATGAGGTTCCACAAAGGGCCCATTTGATCAGAGGGTTACGGTGTGCGATCGTGAGAAATGCAACTACATGGTGGTAACCTTTGTTCGGGCCAAAATGGTGGGCTGACCTCATCGCTTTTAATGCATAGCCCGGGCCATTCAGGCCCAAGTCTCACTTGCTGAGCACATTGAATTCTGAAGCCTGTCACAGATATTGCCCCTCAGTTATCTGGGTCTTCGGCTTGAGGAAGATGAAGGGAAAAAAAAAAGAAAAGAAGAAAAAAAAAAAAACATTTTTGGGGGCTACCAGCCTTCCTGCCCCAAAACAACCACACAAGAGAGAGACGCCAAAGAGCCTGAGAACTGATTCTTTAGTGGTTTTAATATACACTCTACAATAAATATTTCCATCATTTGATGTAATTTACATTTTTACAGTAAAAATATACTCATACATGTAGAAAAAAACAGGTTACATATTCTCCAAAGTAGCCTTCGGAAGGCAAGATAGCATGTGAACTGAGACTCAAGATGCTGTAACCACAGATAGCTGCCACGTCAAACTTCATTGTACTCTTTTTTTTCTCTTTTTAAACATTCTTTGTTGCTAAGCGGGCTAACTTCTAACCAAAGGTTTTCAATCATGACATTATTGTTGAGCTCTCCAGTATTTCAAACGCCCTGATTTAATAATAATAAGAAAAGTCCTCCCTACAGTCTGTCTGAACTGGAAATAACTAGCAGATTAGATAGTTTACATACAATCCAGTACCAAGAATTACATAATAACTCCACAAATGAGGAAGAAAAAAAACAAAAAAAACAAGGTGTATGGGCACTTGAGCGTGAAAAGTAAATTTCCCCCCTCCGAGCCCATGCGTCCTCCTCTGTGCCGGTTCATCTGCGGTTCTCCCTCAGCGCCCCCCGGTCCTGGTCTGCTGCTGGTTGGGGGGGGGGGGTGGTTAGTCCGCTTGCTGAAAGGCGGCGCGGGCACGGGGAGAGGGAGCACGTCGAAGGGCCTCCTCTCGGTCAGCAGGTGGCCCCGGGGCAGGCGCTTCATGAAGTGGGCCTCCCTCTGGTGCTGCTTGGTCCGGGACGCCTTCCGGGGCCGGCCCCGCCGCGTGAAGGCCATGAACCAGCCCTCGTACTTGGCGTTCTGCAGCGCCGTGTAGTTGTTCTCCAGGACGATCTCCGTGAAGATGCAGTCCTTGCCTCGGCCTTTCCTCTGGGGAAAAAAGAGAAAAAAACGGGGAGAGAAGTTGTTGTCGCTCTAGTCTCCAGCTGGTTCTGGCTTTGAATGTGTCTCAACAATGTGCTAACACGAGCCCCAAAACGGAGAAAAACATGCAGCCACAAAATGCAGGAGGCCCGGATTACCTTTCCGATCAGCTTCCCCCTCTTGTTCATGCATATGTAGTATCCCGTCTTCACCCCTTTAATGCGGACGCGGCTCCCGAAAGAGTCCGTCTCCACCTCCAGTTTAGCTGCGCACACAGAAGCAAAGGGCAAACAAACCTGATGACACGAGTCTGACATGAGGATGTGAACGCTCCTTTCGCTTAAATCTGCTCTCCACTTGTTTTATTGGTCCCATCATGTCATTTATTCTGACCCAGAGGGATGGGAGGAGGTCAACAGGCATGGCCGGAGGGACATGAAGTCCCTCCGAACCCCCAGGATTTAACAAAGCGCGCAGGCCGTCCAAAACGGCAGCAAATGATAGTGATTGTGCAGGCCGTGGTTGTTGTCGAGCGGCTGCTGAGCGGACCGGGGGGGCGGGGGGGGAGCGGGAGCCCTGCGGTCGCAGACACAGCCACGAGCACAGAGCCGCGCTCCGATCTGGGCCACTCACAGCAGCGACACCCACTTAGGACGTGCACTCACAGACAAAAGCCAGCACAGAGAGGAAAAGGTGGACAGGGGAAGATGCTGACTTCACCACGCCTTATGAATTGAGTCATACGACGTTGAGCTGCAAAGCAATGAAAATTCCTCGTAAACTCAGGGTCCAACAGGCGGGCAGCAGGCCCCGAGAGGTGGACGGACGGTGGTGGAAAGATGGCTGGAGGCACCAGAAACCCCTTCAGTGACAGTAATTATGACTTTCTGTGAGAAGGCTGTTCTGCCTTGCTTGAAGTTAGGAAAAAGGAAAAGAAAAAAACTGAAGTTGGTCCTAACAGGTGTTGAGGAGTTCAGACCACCAAGAGACCAGAGAAGTGGTCTGCAGAAGGCCATAAAGACAGACCCGTGCTGCCAGTTGTGTCTTGTGTTTACAGCTACTGGTTCTCCTCTCTCTGTCCCACCAAAAGGACACCACAGGTCCCGGACCAGCGAGTTTACACAGTCTCCGAGCATTTCTCCCTCAGAAATAAAGACGAAAAGACTGATTAACTGTTTGACTTTAACTGCCCAGAACTGACGAAAAGCCATGAGGAGTTCAGCGTCTTCTTGGACAATAAAAAGAGTTAACTGAACGGATTAACAGGAATGGGGTCAGATCAATAGCTATAGGTGCGTAAACGTTGGTTTAGAAAAAAAAAAAAAAGTAATATGAGAAGTTTGGGATTTGTATCAAGGGTGGTAAACGTACCCCTGTGATATTTAGCTTTTAAAGACCAAATGAACCAGAAACTATGCGTTTTTTTGTGTTTTTTTTTTTAAACAAACGATGGGCCGGAGGAGTCCTACCGTGCACCGCTCCGTCGTCTGCGTTGGCGTTGACCCTCTTGTTGGCCAGGACCTGGACGTGTTTCCCGCTGGTCCGGCTGTAGAGCTGGTAGGTTCTGGTCAGTCTGCGGCTCATCCGGTCCGACAGCCGGCTCTGCTCAGTGACATGGTGCTTGAAATTAGGGGGAGATTGCACCGAGTTCTGCCGGATAATTAAAAAAAAAAAAAAACACGTCACGAAATACTTTTAATAGAATGAATCAGATGTTCTTGATTTTTTTTTAAAGCTAATAAGGCCCCGGGCATTTTGTCATTTTCAGCTAAATAAACCAGCCTTTTTTCCTTCTCTGATTTATGGTGGCCTGTTTTGGAGATGCTTTCAATGACCCTCGTGGATGACATTTCACTGATAGGTTGTTTTTACCACCGATGATCTTTCACCCCGTCATGACTTCTTATTTTTTTCTTTTCCCCCTCCTCATTTCAGCCGTTCTCCAAGCCACATGTGTTTTAACAATTACCTTTTAGACTGGAGCTTAACATTTCTCAAGATGTTTGAATTGTTGCCAATTGCCATAGCACTCATAATAAAATGTTTTCATTGTTATTGCAGCCTATTGGAGAAGTACAGACATTGGACTGCAAACATAGTGCCAGGGCGTCTTTTAAATTAGGCTCTCATGAAATAGCTTTTATAACTTTTTAAAATGTTTTTTGTCATTATTGAACAGAAAAAGGGGGATTACCTGTGCGTAAAAGCAAAGCGCCGTGAACTGAAGTAACCTGCGTGGAAAATAACAGCAGAATAAATTACACAGACTAATCCATTAGTATGAGTAATTATAATCCATAATCGTTTGTAATTCTTTACTTACAGATAACCTAACCTCGATGTTCTCAGCCTCATCTTGTAATAGTTCAAATATTGCTTCATGAATACTCCACTGACCCGGTGCTGGAAGCTCTCGGAAATAAAGTTTCTCTCGGTTGGGGATTTCAATTTAGTTCAATGAATCTCCCCTCGTTACACATGGAAAGCAGTAGCCATGACAATGAAGAGATCCCGAACTGTCAGGGTCCCGGTGCAGGTACGGGTCCTGCCCGCCGCTCCGCTGACGGGATGGAAGCTCGTCAGATTGAAAGGCGTTGCGGTGCTAATCCAAATTCAAAGTCCACATGGAGTGTCGCTGTCACCAAACCTCCTCCGTCAAATCTTTTTTTTTCTTCCGACAGTCACTTATTCAGCAGTGCCGTTTTTTAAAGTCGAAATGGATCCCTGTTGACTCGCTCTGAGATGGTGTTTTACGCACGGATCTTTACGCATCATGAGCAAGATGCAGATTTCCTCAAGACGAGTGAGAAAAACCTAAATAAAACGAGGGATGAGTTAATTAAAGATCATGAATTCATCTAAAAAGTAACACCATGGCTATGTTTGATCAAATAGTTACGGGTAATGTTGCGATGCTGCCCCTTTGCGCGCATATAGTAAAGTTCAGCGACAACCCTCCACCCACACGTGTATTTCTTGCGGTTGCCTCCAGTCCACTTACAGCATCTGTCTCCCTCCACATTTAAATACTTTAACTTGCGGGAAAGTCAATATCCTCGTCGAGAGCAGGCGGAGCGTTCAGGCTGGAGCCAAGATGAAACTGAATACTTGTTGAGACGCTTTTGCCTCCAACTATTTGCTTGTAAATGCACAAACATCTCACAGCCCTCAGTTTTGTTCGATGTGGGATTAAACTCCAAATGAGATGAATGACTGAACATGGACAACAGTGACAACAACAAAGACTGCATTTTTGTGTTTTTAAAGGGACGTTTGAGCTGAAAAAAAAAGGAAATCAAATATTTTAAACTACTGCCAGAATTTATTCACAATCGCAGGCCTGCATTTGTCTCATTCATGTCATAATGTTCCCGTGCAGTCATGCAAAATAACAGAACACTTTGTTTTCTATAAGCTGAAATGTCCACATGGAAAAATTCCCTGGCATGTACTTAAGAAAATCTACAGTTACATTAAGTTATTCCCTGACTGCAGGTTAGAGGTTGTTTGGTGGTCCCTCAGGATAGACCTCAATGTGCTTTTTCATCCTACATATGTAAGTAATATGTATTCCATGTGAACACATGACACACAATGGTTTTCACATAACATCTAAAGCTTTTGCCATGGATACAACCGCTCACTTCCAATCAATCCCTCATAACTTCTCTTAGTTTTAGTTTGATTTCAGAACGTGGGCTCTTGGCCCGGTGTGTTACCTTTACAACATTCGTATAGTAACTCCTCAGTGTGAAAAAGGGGCAGGTTTCCTTTAGGAGAAGGAGGCTATTTCACGTTTGTCTGATGTTTGCAACATGGGACATTTTAATGCCTACCTTTTATTTAGGTGCATCATTTAAAGCAAGACATGGTGGCTCTAAAAGAAAGGTTTCCTCCACATAGGGAATTTCACTCTAAAAAGTCTAGCTTTATTATTTCATGTTTGATTCATGTATTTCTGGGCATTGAAGTCTGACTGCACCTTCAGATCAACTTTTGTAAAGTTTTTCTTCCGTCTTTTGTATTTTCAACAATGTGGAGACGAAACAGTGAGCTATGTGGGCTATTGTAGGCTAGATTGGAAGTATGAGGTTATCTTCTACCTTTGAGTGAGTCACATTAACATGTGTCGAGACAAACGTCACATTCGATTCTGCTCCCTTTTCCCTTCATTGTTGCCGTGTGCAGAGACGAGTCATCGCAAACTGAAAAACGAGCGTCTGAAAACACAAAACGGTGTAAAAGAATCCGCCCCTACGCCTCCCAAATCTCCCCTGAATATCTGAGCCCCTTATGATACCACGAGTTCAAATATTTTTTGGCCGTGTCTGTGCCTTAATACGCACGCTTTAAATCAGAACACATTTGTTCACAGTGTAGGCTTACAGGATCCAAGCCTCGAATCTGAGCGATGTCCTAATGAGCCACAACAGATTTCTGGATCAGGATTCTTACCTGGGAGACTTCCCCCTGCAGGCCTACATCCTCTGTGCAAACAGGATGGGAAACTGTTGCACCCTTCACACGAGCGCAGCTGTACTGGAGTTAAATACAACACATGTATAATTATGTGAGTTTGCTCAATGTCTGAGCTGTAAATCAGTCGTTTCAGTCAATGTCGGGGAGTTAGAGGGTGAAAATGGACTGCCTTATTAGTTCCAGGGGGACATTAGTGATTTTGCCACCTGGAACAGTTCAGCACTTTGTTCTTTTACTTATTTAGACCCACACCAACAACTGAACATCCTAAAATGAAACCCACATGCAAGATAAGTGAATTAGGTTTATGGAGACCACACAATGATTGCTCTTTGTCTAATGTTCGAACCCAAATTAGTTCCTGATTTTTAACTAATTATAAAGAAACCTTATGTGAAAAGGTGATGGTTAAGTTTGAGTGTGCAGCTTGTTGAAGAAATGAAAAACATGTTTAATTTCTCATTCCTGGGTATTCCATCATATAACTTCATATGATTGACTATGGACGAATTCATGAAATAATTATCTCAGGAGTTTTTATCTTTCACCAACAGAGAAACTTTTGACTTATTCATCCCAAACAGTGTGCGGAGCGACATGTCTCATATTCCGTCTAAGACAGAAATCCATCGCTATAAACTTCTGTGATGTTCTTAGGTGAACCACAACCAGAAAATCATAGAAGTTCAGCGAAGTTAAGAAAGCCTCCCATAGTTTCAGTGGTTTATGAAAACACAGTTCTTCATTTGAACATCAAAAGATGCCAGTTTGGCCTCAGTTATAGAAAAGTATAGGAAAAAAGTTATAGGACAAAGGTTTCTGCCTTTCTCAATTATTTGACGTAGTTTCAATGGCCGTCAGGAGGGAAATAAACGAAGGGGACCAGTGACAGTTCTGTGGTGACAGAACAAGAAAAAACATCTAGATTTTGAGAAGAGCAGCCTGCTATAGTGCTGAGGAAATACTTTGACATTTAGAGAAGATGCTCCACACGTGTAATGACGAAACTGAATAATAGAAACTTTATAATAACAGACAAAGTTTCAACTGAAACTTCACGTCTCTGTTAGTTACCAAGAACCTGCTTAACCCTGATCAAATGGAAAAATTATATATGTCTTTTGAAAGTTGCCAGTGAGCCTGAGAGGGGTCAAAGTTTTATTTGAAAATTCAGACAAGCTGTTTCGATTACAGTTTTTACACAAAAACTTAAGCGTGATCTGCAATTAGAAATGTGACGGTACTAAAACCAAGCTCATCGCTTATGGTTCAGAACTGGTCCACCACCATTCCTGAGTGGACAAAGCTGTGACCTCATCAATAAGAAGAGGTAGTGCTCTGATGTGAAGGTAGATTTATTATTCTTCACTGGACCTTTAAAGTCAGACCCACACAGCTCAACAGAAAAAGAGCGCCTAGCTTCTTTTTTTTTTTTTTTTACAGACAGGTCAAAGCGTCCAGTGTCGTCTTTATTTGTTTGTGGACTGCTGGTGTCAGTTTCAGAACCCCCTGTGAGACTTTACGGTGGACTAATTGGTGCTACAATTAGCCAAATTTAGCTCTGTTTCTCAGAGTTGAGCTCCTGTCGGTGCCGATCAGACCTGGAGATGGAGAAGAAATGAGGCTGTTTCCCCCCCAAAAAAGAACTGACAAAGGAACAGAGTCAGTATATATATATATATGGTATCTATTATATTACAACTGCTTGTAATATATTCTCCAATATGTCCAAAGAGTCCATTAACCAAACCTTTCCACGTGTGAGGAAGGACCCGTGTTGAGTCCTCTATGTTTGTGTGCTTTGTGTGGCCTGCGTTGTCATTCACTTTTTCACCTCACCTGGCTCTGATGGTTTTGGACGTAACGTGTCCTCGGGGTCACATTTTCTGGTGACCACAAGTCCAAACGGATTAAGATTTGTTGGGCTAACTTTGGCTTCGCGCGTCGACTCTGCGCTGAGGCGTGGAGGCTGCTGGGTGGAACAGGTGAAGGAAAACTCTGTGGGAGAACGGCCTCAGAAACGCGGCTCCAGGTTCCACCGGTTCCACATTAACACGTGGCTTTAAAACCGAACGGGGAACGTTTAGCCCCCCCCCCCCCAGCCTGCTGCACGCTCCATCCATCCCTCTGCAGCAGCCACTCATAATTTAGAAAGACTTCCGTCTCTGAAAGCATAAACGACGCTTAGTGAGAGGGAGCTGTCAGACGTGTTTGGCTAATATTCTCCAGGCCGAACATGAAAGCTCCCTCCTGAAACTCGATCAAAAGCTATCGTTTTTTTATCCGGCTGCCTCGCTCCCGCCGTTCTCTGCTGAGCAGCTTTTTCTGGCCTCTTAATGATTTTGAGAAGAGTTGACACAGGTCCAAGTTTTGCCCCCCAGATCCCCACTCTTTTTCTTTTTCTGTTAGTCTCCCTGTGCTGCTTTCCTCGTTCGGATGACAGTTAGCTGTTAGAAATCCCTGCTATCGGAGGGTTAGAGCCGGTGTAGCAGTTATTGAACGGTGTGAAAAAGGGAATAGCAATGAGAGGAAGCTTTGGCAGGGATGCATTTTGCTGATTCTCAGAGGAAGATCTGAATGTCTGAAAAGGCCCATGAGCAGCCTACCATTCGGGAGAGTCACCAAAATACAGATTGCTGATTAAAGCCGATTAAGGTAGACCTAACAGAGGAAAAAACGAACCCAGAGAGCGTGGGCCGGGGCGTTTAGGTGCAGAGGAAATTCACTCAGTGTCATCTGCTCGCATCGTGCCTCTCGGCCCAAACCTCAGCGGCTTTTCGGAGGGAAAACTCTCCAACCACCTGTTGTAATTACGCACCGGCGCGCACCACATAATGTGCCTGGACGGATCCGCATCCCGTCGCCAGCAGTTCACCGTGAACCGGCCGGAGAGTGGGCTGGCC